ATGTGTCGAAGTTCCTTCATTTAAGCAAATATTAAACAGATTACAGTTGAATTTAATTATACAGTCGTCAATTTCCTTTTTTTTTATTTCTTAAAACACACACATTGTTGAAAAGAATCTTAACGAAGTTAAGAATATCACATTAACGAAGTTATCAAAAAACTAAAATCTTATTTACATTGATTCGTATATCAATATAATTTCTGCAAATGTACTGAAAATTTTTTTCACATTATTTTTAAATAGTGTTAGAAGTCAATATTCATCTTTATGTTATAACATATATATGAGCTCTAATAATTGAAAAAGCTTTTTTAATTTTAAATTAATTAATTTCAATTTCTAAGTAATTAGATATTTACTTTCTTGAATAGAAAGTAAAATCATTTACAAAATTTTCAGTATGTTGACGTCATTACTTAAAATGTATAAATTCACCCAAATATTCATAATGAAAACAATACTCTTGAATTCCTTGCTATTTTTAAAATGGTTACAAATAATGTTAAAAGTATCCTTGTGAAACTGTAAACAGATGTCGAAATATTAAAATTAGAATTGAAAAATATTGCTATCTGCCCACTGAAAGGAATAATTAAAACTACAGAAGTCAACATGTAGTAAAGGTCATTTTTGTGCATGAGAAATTAACAAACTCATTAAATTAGATTTAGACTATTGAAATTTTGTTGTAATAAAAAAAAAATTTGGAGTTTCTTTCGAAAGATTTTTTTATTAAAACGGACATAACATTTTGTTTGTATTTATTAGTTTAGAAATTTGAATTTATTAAATTTAATAAGTGCATATATTATAAATTTAACATAAGAATAATATAAAACTCGGTATTTTTTTTTTTCAATTTAGAAAACAATACTTTATTAAATATTATTTTTCATAGGTGTTAATGTATTTAATTTTTCTTTTAAGCCAAAAACTTACTCATACGCACGGTTGTTTTCTCGTTTCTGATAGGTTTTACGCTAATTTGTTAAGGGCAAAGGAACACAAGTTGTTGGTACTTTTGAATAAATAAATTACTAATTATTTATGTAAAAGTACTTTTAATTTATTAAATTTTTCTTCCGTAAATTAAATTTCTGTATTTGTACATTTTACTATCAGTTTAATTTTAAATTTACGTTCTTATTTGATATCTACAGTAAATTTCTATTAAAAAAAAAATATTTTGAAGTTTTTACTATATAAAGAAATTAAATAAATATTGAAAGTTCAATAAAACATTAAAAAAAAAATAAATACTATTTTATAAATGTTAATTATATGTATTTATAGTAAATAGGTGAAGTCTAAATAAACATCAAGAAAATTACTATATAATAAAAAATAAATATTCACACAAAAAATAATAAAAATATTTTTTTTTTACACATAATTGTTAAGATGTTTTTGAGGTAGTGCCGGAGACATTGGACAGGACGACTAATCCTAATATATAAAATATGATTGGATCTTAATATATTATATGTTGTTCGAAATAAATGAATAAGTATAGTTAGGGCTTCAAACCTTATATTAAAAATTATTTATATATATAAATTAAAAATATTTATACATATAAATTATTTACATTGAGTTTATTGTTATATGAAATTAGTTAAGTAATATTACAAAGTACTTAATTTAATTTAAATTCCTTTATATTTTCTTTTATTTTTATTAAAATTTAAGTGTCGATAAATAAAATACAAATCATTAATGCAGCATATAAATTTTGATTCAAAAATAATTGCTATACTTTGTAAGAAGTGCACAAACTATTTTTTTTTTTATTTTTCTATTTTAAATTCTCTATTTATATATTTGTAAATTGTATAAATATATAATTATATTTATTTATTGATACTACTAAATTGAAATTTACTCTTCGAGTAAGTGCAATGAATTTGATATGTATATTCATGCTTTATAATTTTTTGGCTACTTAGCTTATGATCATTTTGGCCTTTAATAACAGGACCTAAAAAGTTTTTGTTTTGTATTAAAGCATTCTTATCACGTAGTTGTGAAAATATTTAAAAGTGTATAATACACATTTTTATATAATGAAATGCATAGAATTGGCTGAGTTAGTTGTAGTAAAATTTTATATAATGAAAATATTTGATATTATGTTTGAATATAATGGTTTTCAACATAAGTTGCCAAAAATTGCTTACCTGAAGTAATAGTTTTAATTATATGTCGAATATATAATTTCATTATTTCATAAATTTCTATACTCTTTAATTTTATTGTATTGTATTGTACTAAAACTTATTCATAAGACTCTTCTTTCGGATCTTGTCATCTTCATAGTATCTGGTATCTCGTCATTCTCCCCGTCATCATAGTATCGGCCGAATTGCACTATATAAATTGCATGTAACTATCAAGTAAATACACTCTGTTAACTTGATTTTCTGGTCGAACTATACTTAATGAACTATTATAACTTCATAATGCTATATTCAGGTATACGAAGTTTGGGATACCTTGAAATGTGTAGTCATTAATATCAATATTTTAATCTTATAAAAATATAACACAGTGATATACTATATTTACAGTTATATACTATATCTCTTATACGTTTGATTTTCAGTCAAATTTTTATTCTTACAATCAGTTGCTATATTATCGATATAGTTCTAAGCTAGTAAGTAAGTGTTTTCTTTATTTTATTTCATATACATATATTCTTAAGAGCAAGAGCATATAGTAATCAATGCAGATAAAGTTTACAAATGAATAAAAGTGTTTAGGCAATATAATGTAGCTTATATAAAAAGAATATTTCACTGTGAAAGGTATGGAATCTATATCATTATTAATTCAATTCTTTTACAATAATATTTTTATTGTGTTAGTCTTTATGCCTATAAATATATGTATGGTATGTAATCATATTTTATTGTAAAACTATATTTCAAAGCATATTGCATATAATAAAATCTGAA